CTGAGCGGTACATTGGGCGCCTGTGTTAGTTTCTGATCCACTTAGAGTCATACATGGGTGGGAGCAGGGAGGGGGGGATTTCATTGCATTCTTGATCTGTACTTGACACTGTGCCAAACAGTGGTAGAGATAGAGAAGCCCGAGTCCTTGTACTTGATGAGCTCATGCTTGAGTTCAGGAGAGGAGATGTGTTTGTGCTACAGTGGAGGAGTCTAAAGCTGCATGTGGTAAGGGACTGTGTGAATTCGCTGTTCGCCACTGCAGCAGATAACCAAGGACACAGTGAAGCGTCACAGCTTTAGTGTCTCACACTCCTAGAGGTCGGCAATGCCAGCTGGGTTGGCTTGGCTGCCTTCTCCCTGGCAAGTCTAGGGGGAGCCCATCTGTGTGCAATTTACAGCTTCCAGCTGTCGCCTCCTTGGAGCAAATCTTCATCCTTGGAGGCCAGCATGGTGTCATATTCCCATTTCTCTCTGAGCCCTGCTTCATTGTTTTACCTGTTTCACTGATTCCATTCTCTTGCCTTTCTTTTTAAGTGGTCCCTCCTCTTACAGGGAGCCCACTCTCATAACTCACAGTTGTCCCATCTCAGGAGCCATAACTGCAGTTGCAGAGACTTTTTTTTTTGATTTTGCTTTTTATTTGTTTTTTTGCCTCTAAGGGTCTATACATCTTGGGGGTTGGGCATTATTCAACTTCCTACAAGGAGTAACTGAAAATGCACCAACTCGTTGCCTTGGTAGGACGAGCATAACTACAGTATTTGCTATGGGGCAAGAAGGAGAACGGGAGGGTGCCCCTAAAGCATGAGCTCATGGGGAATTGTATGCAGATTACATCCCTGGAGCATAGGGCAGAGGTGGTCTGAGCATAGGGAGGTGTTGGAGAGGGGTTGCAGGGGAAGGAGTGGAAGAACTGTGGGGCATGGACCCATGTGGCTGATGCACAAGCACAGGTTAGACTCCCTCAGGGGGGCATAGCAGGATGTGGGACCAGAGAGCCACCCAGAAGTTTTGATTTGGTCTGTGATGCTGGTGCTTGCTGGGGTTAGCAGTGGATGCAGCATTGGGCGATGTAGCATTAGTAGAAAGCTGGTTCGTACCAAATGCACAGCTTGAACATAACCTATAATAAATGCATCAAAATTAGAGTCAAGCTTGAAAAGAAATGGGCCGATAAATCTAATGGACAGTAGAAAAGGAACTGCTTGGGAAATTCTTATAGAGAATACTTGAAGAACATGCTAACAAGTCTGAGAGAAGCACTGTGTGAAAGATGCAAAGGCGGGGAATGGGAGAGGAGCCAGGCCACCAGGGTTCAATGGTGTAGGCCTCCTCCCCACAGCAGCGAGCAATTTAGTCCTTGGTAAGAAAATGGAATTTGCCTTGGCTTTGCCATTTAAGACATTACACTTTTGTTCTGGGCACAGAAGACATCAGCAAAGGTTAATTAGTGCCACCTTTATCACTCTGGGGTGCTTTCACTTCTCCCAAAGCCTTATCACTTATTGATTCTTTATTTCCTTTAAACCGTGTGGCTTAGTTCTGAGGCCAGACCTGAGCATCACACCAGAGCCCAGGAGTCAGGGTGTGTTTGATGGGACCAGGCCAATACCTTTACAGTGGAAGCACCGTTTTCCTGCCAGTGCAAGTCTAGGACGTGTTCAAAATGCTGTGATTCAGTTAAGCCAAAGCATATTCAAAGTTGTTTTGTTTGTTTGTTTTTTGAGCACCTGAAATTCTGTCTCCCTGACTCTTTGTGGAAGGAATACAAAGATGTTTTTATTGTTCTTTAGTAATCGAATCAGGTGAAGATAGGTGGAGCCAAGAGCAATTCCCTGTGGCATCCAAACACTCAGCCAGGCCCACACGGAGCCCACCTGTTCCTTCCCTCTGTCTCTCACTTCCTGCCAGCTCTCGCCCTGCGTCTCCCCTTTGCCTAACGTTCCAGACATTATTGTGCTTAGAGACCTATTTGCTTCCTCGTCCCCCTCTCCGACATGCTCTGCCTGCTCCACTGGTCCTTATGCCAACACGTTTTAATCAAAGGCTTACCATGGCTGTTGTATCTTGGGATTTCTTTCTGTGTTGTCATTTCAAGAGAAGGGTGTATTTATTACTTCAGAGAATGGCAGTGATAATGTGAGCTAATACCCTAGTGTAAGGCTTAAATAGCACATTTCATTCTTTTGGCCTTACATTCATATTTTCATTAAGATTATGCTATGTCCAAAGTTTAAGAAGCCAGAGTTCTGAAAGGGTTATAAGGAAAATGTCTAGAATCCTCCCCCGACTCTGCCGCCCTTGAGCCTTGTAGCTATTTCTCCTGGTATATACCTCTAGGTTTCTTAATGTTCTCTCACTTTTGTTTCAAGAACTTTCACCCCCACCATATTGGAGGAGTATTTAAATTTTTATTTATTTTTATTGTATTTGAAAGTCAGAGAGGGGATGGGGTGAGGAAAGGGGAGATGGTCCATCCAAAGATTCATTCTCCAAATGCCCTTAGCAGCTTAGCAGCTGGCACTGGGCTAAGCTGTATCCAGGAGCCTGGTATTCCTTCTGGGTCTTCCACATGGGTTACCGGGACCCAAGTATTTAGGCCACTACCTGCTCTCAGAGTGTGCACTAGCAGGCAGCTGGATGGAAAGCAAGGTACTGGAGACTCAAACAGAACCTTTTGATGTGGCTTCTTACCGGCTGTTCCACAGCAGCCTCCCATCTCGCCTCCCTGTGCCCATCACATTCTTCTTCTCTCTTTACAGCCCTATACATTAATTTTGGGATTGTTTTCTGGTCTTGAGGCATTTGCAATGTTCATCACAGGAGAGGAATGAAGCAGATTTCATTTTTCAAGTTGGTTAGTTTTCACAGTATGCCTTTCACAGGAAACTGGCTTATCACTGTGGCCTGGCTTGTTTTAAACTTGAATGGAAGTCAAAGTTGTGAAAATTCTTGGACTTTTCTGGACCCATGACAGGTAGCAGTCTTATCTGTCCTTTACTGGAAAATGTGGAGAGTTGCCAGACTCTTACAGATGGCTTAGCTTCTTGAACTGGAAACCAATGCCCTCTGTCACTTCACTCCAGTAAAACTTAATCCAACTGCAAATTAGCCAACCAAAGAAGATAGGGAAGAGATGCCAAGGCCAAGAACACTTCAGAATTGAGCACCCTATCCAACAAGGAATGTATTTACGGATTTTTTTTTTTCTACCCTTTCACCTCACTGTCTCTTGAGGCATCCTTGGTGCACAGTGTTCAGATACTTCTGAAACTTCTGTGACATTGACAAAATCAGCCATTTTCTTGTAAAACTTTTACAATAGGAAATTCTGGTTGTCAAAGATTCCCATAGAGCAATAATGTAGCAGTATGGTATAGGGGGAAAAAAACAAATGAAGTCTTGAGGACAATTTCATTAGAACAAGTTGACTCCCCAGACTGGAGTTTGTTCTAACAACTTTAATAAGAGCACAAGACTGGGTCAGTATTGTGGCACAGCAGGTTAAGGTGCTAAAGCATCCGGGAAGGCAGCTGAAGATGACCCAAGTGCTTGGGTCCCTGCGCTCATCTAGAAGACCTGGACGGAGTTCCAGGCTGTTGTCTACAGCCTGGTGCAGACTAGTGCCTGACTGCTGGGAATATTTGGGGAGTGAAACAAAAGAGGGAACATTGATCTCTCTCTGTACACCTATCTCTCTCGCACCCTACCACTCCCTCTCATGCTGTCATTCTACCTTTCAAATAAACAAATATTTTCAAAAGAATAAAATAAATCCGTGAGATCATAATGAAGAAATTAGATGAATTATGAAATGAATAGGAATTGGTATTTCGTAAGAATCAGTTATTTATAAATTTCTGGGGGTGTAATGATAAAGAAAAACCCGATTTCGTTTTGTCTGAGACCCTTCATCCATGGGCACACCAGGGGCCACATCTATATATACCAGAGGCTGGGAAAGCAATGTTAAGCCAGACAACCCTGCCCCAGCTTTAGCACACTGCGATGGTCTGGCACATAGGCACCTGAGTGGAGAAGGGTGATGATGGGCAAGAACCTGGTGGTATGGGGACACAGGGAGCAGCTCTGCTCAGGCTCCGGTTCCCTGGAAGCTGATGTTAGGCCGCTGAGACAAGGTTCCAGCATGAAGGATAATTTCACCAAGGGCAAGAAAAAAGGAGAGTGAGTGTGCAGGAGGATGTGCGTGGTGAGCGCACTGCAGAGGTGCAGGGCAGAGGGACTTGTGCCTGGTTCCCACAACGAGAGCAAAGGAGATGCCCTCGAGGAAGGCACTGAGGGTGACTGCGGGAGGAGGCTGGCCACTCAGCTGACACCATGTGGTGGAGGATTTCAAGCAGGAGAAATGCCATACTAGGATTTGCCACTTATGGGGTGGACTGGGAGCACCCCAGGTTCACAGCCAGTCAGCATGCCATAGCCACAGCCCTGCCGAGGGGCTGTGGTTTGAGTGGCAGTTGGTACTGGAGACTGGGCTGGACAGGGGTGTATGGCAGGGGCAAATTGACAGGGCATGGCCAATTGTCTAGCATGCACAGGAAAAGCTGGAGCGTGCTGTTTTGGCTTCTGACCCATGGTATTTGGGGGCATGGATGGTATATGACATTTTGGTTTTTTAAAGGAATGCTGCTATAACGTTGGTATAACTTTCCACAAGACCTAACAGATTCACTGGAAATTGTTAGGAAACACAGGGAAAAGAGGGTTGTTGTGGGAGAGACAATCTAGCGATGTGGAAAGCCTGTGGCCCTTGATGTATGTTTACAAGAAGCCGAGGGGAAGAAAGGGAACACTGGGAGCAGGTGTTTGGACAGGTGTTAGGTGACAGTGTTTGAACAGGAGCACTGGGATGCTTCCTCAGCTGGTCCTGTATAGGGAACACGTCACCCTGCAGACCCTTCCCCTCCGAGGACAGCCTCAGGTTAGGGACATCGCACTTTGGCAAGCTGGCCAACTGGACTTGCTCTGTTTTCGCAGGTGATTGATATGCCGGAGCACAACCCTGGACAGCTGGAAGGAACAATGAGGCTGGGAAGCCGAAGGACCGTCTTCAGAACTGAAGATTCAATATTGAGTAAGTTTCCTAGGTCGTGTGTGGTAGGAGATGCTGGATGTGGTGCCCAGGCCTTTCAGTGGGGCTCACCCCTGCTCTCCCACAAGTCAGACGCGGCTCTCTAAACTGTTTCCCCTGCCATTGCCAAGTGCAGAGGAGTTCTCTCTAGGATGGGCTTCAGGCAGACTCTATCGACTGCCGCTTCTCATTTGATCTACAGAGCACCTGTTTGGCAGGCTGTTGTGTGAGTTACAGAAGCTCTTGGAATTAGACTTGCACTGGGAGAGATAACCCTGATTGCTCCTTATTTTGAATCCATAGCTCTCTCCATTCCACTAATACAGATTCTGCTATTCCTTCTTCTTCTTCTTTTAAAAGCATTGATTTGCTTGCAAAGCAAAGTGATAGAGACACAATCCCTGAATGGCCACAATAGCCAGGTCTGGGCCTGACTGAATCCAGGAACCCGGAAACCAACCCTGGTTTCTTTCTCACTTGGGGTACCAGGAGCCAGGCACTTGGGCTGTCTGCTTTTTCAGGTGCATTTAACACGAAGGTGAACTGGGGTGGAGGAGCAGGGATTCACACTCGAACTCCGATCCAGGATATTGGTATTGTAGGCAGTGTTTTTTGTGTGTGTGATTTTTTTTTTTTACAACACAAATGCTTTTATTTAACAATCACAGGCCATTCTAGGGGGGACCCGGCATCAGCTCAGCGCAGCCTCTGGCTCTGACTCCAGCAGGGTGAGCACGTCACCTTCATGTTGTGGATGATGTAGTGGCTCTTGTCGTCCATGAATTCCATGTGTACCTGTGTGCACTGTCCCTGGGAACCGGTCCTGCCCAGCACCTTGGTGACCCTGGCGAGCTTGATGGGCTGTGCCCAACTTGTGTCTATGATGGTGGTTTGGACGCACAGCCTGGCTGAGAGATGTAGGCAGTGTTTTAACCTGCTGCACCCAATGCCAACTCATGCTCCCATTTCATTGTCTCTAGGCTGTTTGGTCTTAGCCACTTGGTTGGAAATTCTTGAGCAGCAGAGTGGTTGTGTGTCTCAGCAGTCTGTGTTTCTGTTCCTCCAGTAGCCCCAGCATGGAAGGAAGAAAGCAGGCTGTGGCTTGTCACTTTGCATTGGCTGATCTTCTGCTTCCAGTAGGTTAATTCTCATTTCTGTGACTCTTTGCCTGGATTAGCATGCCTATGAGGATCATTTAATGGGAGAGAAAAGCCCTGTAGCCCTTGAGTCAGTTTGCTAAGCATGTCTTGGGGTGGATATTTGGGGTAGTGGGCAAGCTATCAGAGTGTCTGGATTCCAATCCTGACTCTTCCACTTCTGCTTCTTGGGAGGCAGCCACTGATGGCTCAGATACCTGGGTCTGGGCCACCCATGTGCAAGCTCAAGACTGCATTCTGGGCTCCTGGCTTTGGCTTGACCCAAACCTGGCTGGTGCAAACATTTGAGGAATGAAATGGCAGATCTAAGCTCTCTCTCTCTGCCTGTCTCTACCTCAGTCTTCCGGTTGCTCTGCTTTTCAAAGTCAAACATGCCACCCTCCTGCTCTCTTTCCTGTGCTAGTTTCTGCAGGAACCAGGTCAGATAAAAGCCCTACTCCCCTGGGGCCTCCAGACTAGTGGGAAAAGTGTGGTCAAAGGTCGCTGGCCAGACTGAAGGCAAGACCAGGGATGGATAATCTTGCCACTCCCAGGAAGTTACAAAGACACCTTAGAAAAATATCTTCTTAACTCAAGGAAGAATAAGATAGGAAATTTGAATTTCTCTTTTGTGAGTGAACACAAAGCTTTCTAGCAAAGATAAAATTCAAAAAGAAAAAGTTTCAAAGTGAATCCATTTCCCTCCTGTCAGCAGATAAGAAGTCATTGTTCTCTAAGTCACTAACATTTTTCTTTACAAATAGATTTTTTTTTCTCTTGGGCTGTTAGCAATCCTTTGGCTTTCAGGTGTTTTCAAATACTTTGAAACTCTGTTCAAATAATTGCCTGACAGAAATAATGAGTGAAAAAAAAATGAGTGTTTTAAAATTGTAGCTGTTGTAGCAGAGTCTATGGTAATTGTTCTTAGTGTTTTGAAAAGAGCATTAGGCTCAAAGTATTAAGCAATTGGATGGAAATAAGATGTATCTAAGATGTGTTTTTCTTTGTGCAAAAGGCAAAAAGTAAGATTCATGATATGTATGAATCTTAAGGATAGAGCCAAACCTGATTTTCAAAAAAAAATTAAATGGCTTTATTGAGTTATAAATTCACATACTATACAATTCATTTGCTAGTAGTGTACAAATTATTGTTTGCTTTTTGTATTTGTAGAATTCTGTAACTATCACAATTTTAGAGCATTTCCATTGCTTCAAATAGAAACCCTGTACCCTTTATATCATCACCTTCACTCCCCTTAATCCCTAACAACCATTGGCTTGTCTTCCATCTGTAGATTTACCTATTTTGGACATTCATGTAATTGGAGGTACTTATGATAGGTGGTCTTTTGTGTCTGCCTTCTGTCTCTTAGCATAATGGTTTCAGGATATTCTACATCTAGCATTATGAATATTTTCATGACTGATGAATTTTTTTAAAAAAAGGATTGATTTGGAAGAGAAAGACAGTAGGCCATATGTGTGTGTGAAGAGAGATAAGGAGGGGGGGAGAGAGAGAGAATCTTACCTACTGGTTCACTCCCCAGATGGCTGCAGTGGCTGAGGCGGGAGCAGGCTGAAGTCAATAGCCAGGAGCTTCGTGTGTGTCTCCCACGGGGGTGGCTGGGGCCATCCTGCACTGCTTTTCCCAGGTCATTAGCACAGAGCTGGATTGGAAGTCAGGTGGCTGGGACCTGACCTGGCACCAGATGGGATGGACTAGATTACAATGGCAGTCCTAGGTAAGTTGATCAGAATCTTTCAAAGAGGAGTGAACCAGTTCATAAGAACATCTATTGTGTTGTTACTTTGCCTGCTTTCTGTAGTCTTTGCTTTAGTTATTCCTTTCTTGTTCTAGTGGCCTTTAATATTGGGTTTTAATGATTCTTTATTTGATAGACCAGGTGTTCTTATCCCCAGTTCATTTCCTAAGCCAGGAGCGAGGGGCCTCACACGCAGGTGGCAGGAATCCAAGGAATCCTACTGCCTCCTGAGGTTGGGGGGTGCGCATCGGCAGGAAGTTAGAGTCAGGAGTAGAGCTGAGATGCCATCTCAGGCATGCCCAGGTGGGGTGCTTGCCTCCTATTGGCCAGGCCAAATGACCACCCCTCTAATTGGATTCTAATTCACATTTCTTTGTATTTCTACTAAATAGAAACTACCCTACCCAAGTCTCAAGTAATCAGAAGCACCCATGTACTGTCCATAATCCAGCCTACACATAACAGCCTGGGCTCCAGGAACTTCCCAGCAAGTGATTCAACAGCCACTGTAGCTTGAAAACAATCACAGACATGTGCGAGTGAGGGAGTGCGGCTGTGTTCTAATGATACTTTAGTCATAGGTGCTAAAATTGTTATATCATGTAATTTTCATGTGTTGTCTGGATTTGTTCAACCACTTAAAAAATGTAAGGGCCGTTCTTAGTTTGTGGACCAAGCACAAACAGGAGGATTGCTTTTAGTTGCAGATTAGCTCATGGTTTGCTGAATCCTGATTGCAAACAAGATCCACCCATTGAATGACAGGCATGGCTGAGGCAGTGGGGCAATCCACATCCAGGACAGAATTCACAGGAAGAATTCATTGAAACACAACAGCTTCCCATTGCTCTACTTGCTAAGTAAACACCCCGTTTGGTGACAAGGAATAAGAACTGAGAGTTCCCCTAGGCCATTTATGCCAACTTATTCATTTCAGCTGAGGAGGCAGAGGGTCGGGGGGCATCTAGTGAGCGGCACGGGCACCAGTCCGGCAGCCTCTCATGCTAGTTTCCTGTCTTCCACCCAGACAGGCAGCCCTGGTGCTGCTATCTCACTAGGGAATCCCTTTCTGAACTGTAATTTTTTTTTTAATACAGATGTGTTCAGAGAGAGAGAGAGAGAGGGAGAGAGAGAAATATCTTCTATCTGCTGGTTCACTCCCCAAATGGCTGCAACAGCCAGAGCTGAGCCAATTTGAAGCCAAGAGCTTCTTCTTTCACATGGGTGCAGGGTCCCAAGGCTTTGGCCGATCCTTTGTTGCTTTTTCAGGCCATAATTGGGTAGCTGTGTAGGAGTGGGGCAGCTGGGATATGAACCAGTGCCTATATGGGATGCCAGCACTGCAAGTAGAGAACCATCCAGCTATACCATTATAGTACCATCCCCTCAAATGTAATTGTTAAAAACACAACTTTTTGCAGCTGTTGGGCCTTTTGAACACTCTTCCCTTCAGGTTTGCATTGTTATATGGGCGATGTCCCTGAATTTTGAAAAACCTCATTTTCTCTGGGGCTATAGATGGTAGGACTTTTGTCTCCTTATGATGACAACATTTACTGATTGATAAACTCAGCAAGAGGCAATTGGAAAGCTGGGGAAATGACGTGGAGCAGGGAAGTAGGAAATGAGGTGCTTTGAAAATCAGCAAGAAATCTAGAAGGAGTTGTGGCTCGAGCTGAAGTGGGCTTGGGCTCATGCTCAGGCGAGAGGCCAGCCGGAGGTCACAGAAGGGGTTTTGCTAGTAGAGGGTTTTAAGACTCCAAATAGCAGCTGTTGTGATGTTTGTGGTCGCCAGCTGAGCATGAAGACATGCAGAGGGCACAGGGCTCCTTCGGGGGTCACCTGGCCGCGGACCGCTTCACCTGAATGTGATGGGCCTCAGCCTTTGGTTTTCTTGCTAAGAATACATCCCCAGGTGTGCATTGCCTTGAGAAAGTTGTGCAATATATTTGAAGTAATCAGCAGCTGGGGACACTGCAGTTCTCACAGGTGGCGACCTGAGTTCTGAGAAAGCCCTCAGGGCCGGGGACAAGGGGACACCGAGACTTGAGGCAGACAGACAGCAGCTGACAAGGGAGGCCGGGTTGTGCCCCTCAGTGTGA